AACTAATCTTGCTAGCCATATGTTACGTAACCTCAATATGATGGGGGTAATGCCCTTTGAAAATTGCTTCCTTTCTTTTGTTTCTAGCAGAGCACATCCAATTAACACGAGACGGCCTATAGCGTTAGTTTCAAGTGGTTAGTGATCAAATCATCTTAGCCTGATATCGACAGCCAAGATAAGGCATGCATGACTGGCAAAGGTAGATCATTCTATCGTCCAAGTGGGTTTTTTACTCTACTGTCCGGCTGATCTACACGATATTCAAGTAGGCAATGATCGTGAGATACGCACCCATGCATTGATACCGCATGATGCTGGTGAGATTACGGAACATTTCATGTAATCACTAAGCAACTGGGAAGCGCTGAACTGCTGTCTCTGCTTTTTGAGGCGTTATCAGTGCTGTAGATGGAATACCGCAGTTGTTCATGACGTGGTAAAATATCTTGGGTGGCTTTCTAAAGCCCCAGACACCTCTGGATTATGGGGACGACTTACGTCTGGCATCCACTGTACAACCCTGGTTTATCAGCCGTTTGGTAGACTTCTAAAGTCGGCTTGATATTGGCTGCCATCCGAATATACTTCTCGCCGATTTCCGTATGCTAGCATTAGCGGTCTAACGCATGCACTTAAAACCAATGGTAGCAAATGACATGAAGATTTATAATACGAACATATATAAATATCCTTTCGGCTCAAGCATTGTTTGAAATATCAGATTCATCTTCCCGTGCTCTAAAGAACCTGGTCGCTAGTAGGATACATATACTACTGGCCGCTCAGTTGTTGATGTGTCGTTTAACCTCTCAAGTTTCATCCTCTTGTTTGCGCGTCACTGCGATTCCAACAAAGATCATCCCGGTCACGTTCATCGCTTTCTTCGTAGCTGTATCACTCAGATTTACCAGCACTAAGAAACTGGAAACAGTAAGGTACCCAGCCAAACGCATCAAATATCCAACCAGACTGACAGTCCAAAACCGTCGCAATTAAACTTGGTTGCTTCCCCGGAAGCTCCGTTTTCTGCCTCAGTGGTTGGATCTGAAAGCTATGAAATAACGGTTTCCTATTGCGGATCTCAGCTAAAACCTTGGTACAACAATTCAGCGTAATCCTACTCCGGATAGGTTTAGGTACACGCCCTAATGTGCATCATGGCTTACGCCTGTACTTCGCTGGCCACGCTCACTCCATATTTACCCCGTATGGACGCAGCATATTCGCTTTGCAAAGCAATCAAGGCGCGGACGATTACTCTGCGTTATCCGCGGTTCTGGCCACGTACAGAATCTTCTATGCCAACCAAAGGAAAAGGTCAAAGACACGTGTGGGTGATGGCCGTTATGGTTTAGGGTCCAGCGTACCCATCATCGATGCGGTTAAAGCACCTAAGGGAGCAAAGTTGCGTAACAGCGCTCCTTACTTAAAACAAAGCGTGGGCTTCTAGTTGCTACCCTCACTACAGGGGCAGCATACGCTGATGTGCGTGAAACTGGCGTATGCCAGAACGGTACCGGGTATTCAGCGACAGTAGAAGCAGTTAGGGATACGTAGGTAAGTGATATGCACAACTGGGTGACTAGCTCGTAGTCAGCAACAAGCGGCCTCACTCTATTAGAAAATGTACAAAGAACATTAAGCGAAAGCTTAATAAGTAAATCCTCAAAATTAGAACATTTCCAAAGATGGGAAGAACTCAGCGTTCATCCCTCCTGACTGAGGCACAATTAACACAGCCTAACCATACTCTCTAAGGCGTTCAGGCAAAATGCATGGTTCTAACCTTAACCTGGTAACAGTAAAAGCAGCATCAGTACACGCAAGAACTAAGGGCAATTCTGTGGTGGAATGCAAATCGAAGACCACCAGGTATTTGAACTTATATTTAACGGATATACCAGATTTTAAAACAAGTTACAATCCGATATACGTGTTTGCAATTCAGAGCACGAACTTTGCATAAGCTTCAGCAAATAGTTGACTCTGCAGTACATGATCCACCTATTAGGATCTCACATACCAAATATATAAGCGGGCGAACGAGGCTCAGGATGCCTATGGTACGGAAAACAGTCTAGAACAGATTGAAAATTGAAGGGGAAAGGCTCCACAATAACCGCCTTCCCCTTCTTTCTTTTTCTTACACGGCTACACCCACCCAAAAGTCATCACCAACAAACGTGTACTTCCTTTATACCATCTCAGCTATTAGTCACCACTGCAAACTTGAACAGGTTCACCTAGTCGTTGGGTCCATTGCCACTTTTTCATTGACAACTCTTGCCACTGTGTCCTTGTTGCTTCTCTTCACTGCCTCTATACACCGAGCATTCACTGAGTTCATGCTTTGATGCTTGCTTTCTGCTTATAGATATCGAATAACTATGCTCAATGCCCGCTGTACTAATGCTGGCGACTCCGGACCACACATGTCTCATTTGTAACCTGCAACTCAGCGCGCGCGCTAAAGATTCCGCCAATCGTTTTCAATTTACTATTGGCAAGTTTATTGTGTCCCTTGAGCCGTGCCTTCATGCCGCCTCTCGTAGCTAAACTGTGATCCCCCAAGTTATACCCTCCTACGTCTGACCATTATGGAGCGTCGGTTCTTTGCTACGATTTGCAGAGGGCGTCGTTATATCGCAAGCAGAGTGTAGGCCGTAGTTTGCGAACTTTTACTTCCAGCTTCCTGTGGGTATCACCAATTTGTTTGCTTGAATCCGCCTATAACCTGAGCTGAACTGAAGGCACGACGGGCTCAAGAAGGAAGCTATGAAGACAGACACAATTAACAAAGACTCATTTGCTGCCCCTTTTAGGTTGGCATTAACCTGATAAATCCCATTCAATTTATATAGCAATCCAAATTCTACGGATCACTCTTCTATGCGCGTTTGTTGCAGCAGCCATGTGGAAGTTCACAGTTACCTGCCTTACTCGCTCGGTATTTGCCATCAGGAAGGAATATGAATGAGCGTGCGGTACTAGTCGCACTCCGTCCCTGCTGTCCAATCCCGTGTTACCTTATGCCCACAATGACGTCTGTTCCTAAAAAGCAGTCACTGAAAGGTACTCCTTCGGCGCACCTACCGCAACATCAAGACACGTGTGTTTTCACGCTGCTAGCTAAGCTACCAAACCCAAACGAGGCTATTAATGGAAGTATCAATGTTTTGACTTTGCGGCTCGAACATTCGTTAAGTCACGACACTTGCCTCGTGCTAACCCCGTCACACTCATGCCTGATCAATGACGGCGTTTGACGACATTGACTTAACTTACTCACGTATGAATTTTACCTTTGGGACACGTTGCTTAACCTAGCCGGGAGAGTGACTTTCTATCATGCCCTCTGTATTGACTATTCTTGTGCCACCGGTGGCACACCATAACACATCATGTCGGTTGTTGTAAACCTAACCAAACGGCTCACCATTTTAATGCCTTCATTCTTATCGGCAAATCGACCTAGGGATTAATACTATGAGAAGTGAACAAGCCGGTATCTTCATGGGGCTAAGCGCAATCGCGGTCTGAGCTAGCGTTGCGCTGAGTACCAGTTTTTGTATCCATCCAAGTGCTTTTATCTCTCCTTTGCCACGACCCAAACTGCTTTAAATCTTAAGGGATTTAGCTCTTTTGACAGTAAATATCACGGACCACTTGCGCACTGAGGACCTCCTAAAACGCTTTTCATTCTTTCCTTTTATAGTTTCTAAAGTTTATCCATCTCACGTGACTTGTTAGGCATTACCTGTATACAAGTAATACACCATTGTTCTTTTGTCTCAGCCCTCCTCGTATGCCAACACAAGATAAATTGACACCCACCAATGCGAGGTTTGAGGATATGTTTGAACCTGGAAAATTCCACCAAACTTGACTTCATATGCCCCATGAGATGCTTCAAATGTCCCTAAAGAAGTTGCTACCTCTACAAATTCCTATAGCTTTTCTTTTAGTTTAAGGATTGTGCTGGCAGCTATTAATATTCGTCTATGCCCTTGAAACGAACAAGCATGAGACCACTCGATCGATTGTCCGCTACTAGTCCAGCACCAGTTGACAGGTGACCGAGTGGTCTGCACGTTTGCTTTGCAACCACAAGGACACCGGTCCGAATCCGCGTCGGGGTGGGCGTCCGCGCGGTATACTCAGCCCGCGCGCGACTGGCGGCGGTCGCGCGGAAGCGAAGCGCCGCTACGGCGTACAGCTGACACAATATTATTATTATATATTGCAAGAAGAAACGCAAGCGGTACGCTTAAAGCGAACAATTGTTTTCGATTTATTCATCATCAGGCTTTGTACAGAAATATACGCTGAGAAGCGGAGTCCATAGGGGAACAAAGAGTAACTATTGATTGAACAAAATATTTTAAGTGCTTGACGTAACGTGTCAGGTGGTCAGGTGACTGAAGGCATGTGATACAGATGAGTGAAGTCCGATTCATCTCTATTGCTGGCTGGCCAGGATAGTTGTAAGGCTTGTACATGTTGCTTCTGAATGCATAGGTTTGGTTTTGTCAACCTGATGCATACTGCTTCAGCGGTAGCGAGTAGCCGAGCTCCTGACCGATGGTGTAGCTGTGATGGAACTCGATAGAGGATCTCAAAAGACTTGCGCTTATCAATCAGATGATTGGTGCAGATCAGATGGTTGGTTATGCCACCCAACGAGAGAAAACTCAGTTGAGTGCCATAACCAACCATCTGATCTGCACCAATCATCTGATTGATAAGCGCAAGTCTTTTGAGATCATCTATCGAGTTCCATCACAACTACACCATCGGTCAGGAGCTCGGCTACTCGCTACCGCTGAAGCAGTATGCATCAGGTTGACAAAACCAAACCTATGCATTCAGAAGCAACATGTACAAGCCTTACAACTACCCTGGCCAGCCAGTAATAGAGATGAATCGGACTTCACTCATTGGTATCACATGCCTTCAGTCACCTGACCACCTGACACGTTACGTTAAGCACTTAAAATGTTTTGTTCAATCAATAGTTACTCTTTGTTTCCCCTATGAACTCCGCTTCTCAACGTATATTTCTGTACAAAGCCTGATGATGAATAAATCGAAAACAATTGTTCGCTTTAAGCGTACCGCTTGCGTTTCTTCTTGCAATATATAATAAAAATGGGCATACTACACGATATTAAACGTTGCAAATGCCCCCAAACGCTCAAAGAACTCAATCAGTATATTAAGTTCAGCGTCAGATTTGCCGAAACGGAAACCTTTATCGAATTTCATCGTCAGTGCGTTGAGAAGAGCACCTATCCCAAAGCATTCTCGAAAGCTTTACGAAGGCACCACATACGACCTACAAGAAGCAGCTTAAAGCGTCATGCGCTAAACATTATAGAATCAGCAAAATCGAAGCTATCTGAGACTGAACGGCATATAGCACAGAGGAAAGCCGCCCTAGACGACCTCAACCATGATGAACGAGTCCGATTTATCGAGTATGTGCGCAACGTGACCTCCAAGCGTACATCCAAGAAGAGAGTACTCCTGCAGAAAACGCTGACCGTGAAAGAATGTCCGAACACATTTCCATCAAATCCGGAAAGATATGTACACAACCTGTCCAGTATACGACTAGACACCTTACAAATGCAGGCGCTTTCATTGGGACTTAAATTTTGTCATCCACGAAGTAATGACCACCGACTAGAAATCGAAACTCAATTTGAATACCTTAATAGCCAGACAAGTGATTTAGCAGCCACTTCCAACACCAATCTCGAACAATTTAAATCGGACTTGGTCAACATTTCCTTTCAGTATCAACGATACCCCATGACACATTCCCGGTTACTAACAAAGGCACACATCGAAGCTATAAGAGAACTTCAAAAAAACGAGAGAATCATTATCACCAAGCCAGATAAAGGATCAGGAGCCGTAATCATGGACCGCACAGAATACGTACAAAAGATGAAGCTTATTCTCTCGGACTCCTCCAAATTCGTACGATGTGAACGAGAGAAGGACAAAACAGATTACACCGAAACACAACTGACAAAGTGTTTGAAATCACTGGTCACTGATGGTCACATAACTAAAGAAAGATATGAAAGGATAAGACCCACCGGCTCCATAATTCCTAGGCTTTACGGTCTCCCAAAAATACACAAGCCAGGTGCACCATTGCGACCGATATTAGATATGAGGAACTCACCATATCACACCATCGCAAAGTGGTTAACGTCTATTTTGGATCCTATTAGGAAAAGAATAGCCCCTCACCAACTAACAGACACATTTCAATTTGTGGAAAACGTTAAAAATATGAACATCTTAGGCTACCGAATGTTTTCTTTGGACGTCGTATCCCTGTTCACGAATGTCCCACTTATAGAAACAGTTAACTTTCTTTGTACTTACATTGAGAAGCACAAGATAAAGATCGAAATACCAACTGTCCATCTGAAGCAGCTATTACTCAGATGCACTTATAACATCCAATTCCAATTCAACAATGAATTGTACAGACAAGTAGATGGGGTAGCGATGGGATCACCTCTTGGACCACTATTGGCTGATGTTTATATGGGAATGTTAGAGGATGGCCCACTAAAATCGGTTATCTCGGGCTTACGCTTCTACCGACGTTACGTTGACGACATATTCTGCATAATTGAACAGACGAACAACTTGCAATATGTCGTCGAGTGTTTTAACAAGGCACATCCCAACGCCACATTCACAATTGAAGAAGAAATGGATAACCAAATGCACTTTTTAGATGCAAACTTAAAGCGACGAGATGATGGATCAATTCAGATAGGAGTCTATCGAAAGCCGTATTGGACAGGCCAGTACACACACTTCCGAAGTTTTGTACCAATAAGCCGAAAAAGAACACTGGTACATACACTAGCCAATCGTGCACGGAAAATCTGCAGTGAGGACACAATTGAAGAAGAAATGAAACAAATCAAGCAAACACTTCGCGAAAACGGTTATCCAGAACAATTCATTGACGTTCATATGAAGTCGAGTAGGCCAAAACCAACAGTACAAACAGCGGAAAAGAAACAGCTATTGCTCCAACTCCCCTTTAAAGGTGACATACCGGCGGAAATATGCACACGACGACTGATAAAGACTTGCCGGAAGACCTTTAATGCAGCTCAACTGAGGATCGTTTTTACAAGCAGTTCGCTCTTTGTTCCTAGGTTCAAAGACAAGATGCCTGATCAACGCCAATCAATGGTAGTCTACCGGTTTACCTGCTCCTGTGGGGCTAGGTACATTGGGCGCACGACCAGACATTTGGAAAAGCGAATCAAGGAACATTTACCAACGTCACTCGCCACCCAACGAGAGAAAACTCAGTTGAGTGCCATAACCAACCATCTGATCTGCACCAATCATCTGATTGATAAGCGCAAGTCTTTTGAGATCATCTATCGAGTTCCATCACAGCTACACCATCGGTCAGGAGCTCGGCTACTCGCTACCGCTGAAGCAGTATGCATCAGGTTGACAAAACCAAACCTATGCATTCAGAAGCAACATGTACAAGCCTTACAACTACCTTGGCCAGCCAGTAATAGAGATGAATCGGACTTCACTCATTGGTATCACATGCCTTCAGTCAACTGACCACCTGACACGTTACGTTAAGCACTTAAAATGTTTTGTTCAATCAATAGTTACTCTTTGTTTCCCCTATGAACTCCGCTTCTCAACGTATATTTCTGTACAAAGCCTGATGATGAATAAATCGAAAACAATTGTTCGCTTTAAGCGTACCGCTTGCGTTTCTTCTTGCAATATATAATAAAAATGGGCATACTACACGATATTAAACGTTGCAAATGCCCCCAAACGCTCAAAGAACTCAATCAGTATATTAAGTTCAGCGTCAGATTTGCCGAAACCGAAACCTTTATCGAATTTCATCGTCAGTGCGTTGAAAAGTGCACCTATCCCAAAGCATTCTCGAAAGCTTTACGAAGGCACCACATACGACCTACAAGAAGCAGCCTAAAGCGTCATGCGCTAAACATTATAGAATCAGCAAAATCGAAGCTATCTGAGACTGAACGGCATATAGCACAGAGGAAAGCCGCCCTAGACGACCTCAACCATGATGAACGAGTCCGATTTATCGAGTATGTGCGCAACGTGACCTCCAAGCGTACATCCAAGAGGAGAGTACTCCTGCAGAAAACGCTGACCGTGAAAGAATGTCCGAACACATTTCCATCAAATCCGGAAAGATATGTACACAACCTGTCCAGTATACGACTAGACACCTTACAAATGCAGGCGCTTTCATTGGGACTTAAATTTTGTCATCCACGAAATAATGACCACCGACTGGAAATCGAAACTCAATTTGAATACCTTAATAGCCAGACAAGTGATTTAGCAGCCACTTCCAACACCAATCTCGAACAATTTAAATCGGACTTGGTCAACATTTCCTTTCAGTATCAACGATACCCCATGACACATTCCCGGTTACTAACAAAGGCACACATCGAAGCTATAAGAGAACTTCAAAAAAACGAGAGCATCATTATCACCAAGCCAGATAAAGGATCAGGAGCCGTAATCATGGACCGCACAGAATACGTACAAAAGATGAAGCTTATTCTCTCGGACTCCTCCAAATTCGTACGATGTGAACGAGAGAAGGACAAAACAGATTACACCGAAACACAACTGACAAAGTGTTTGAAATCACTGGTCACTGATGGTCACATAACCAAAGAAAGATATGAAAGGATAAGACCCACCGGCTCCATAATTCCTAGGCTTTACGGTCTCCCAAAAATACACAAGCCAGGTGCACCATTGCGACCGATATTAGATATGAGGAACTCACCATATCACACCATCGCAAAGTGGTTAACGTCTATTTTGGATCCTATTAAGAAAAGAATAGCCCCTCACCAACTAACAGACACCTTTCAATTTATGGAAAACGTTAAAAATATGAACATCTTAGGCTACCGAATGTTTTCTTTGGACGTCGTATCCCTGTTCACGAATGTCCCACTTATAGAAACAGTTAACTTTCTTTGTACTTACATTGAGAAGCACAAGATAAAGATCGAAATACCAACTGTCCAGCTGAAGCAGCTATTACTTAGATGCACTTATAACATCTAATTCCAATTCAACAATGAATTGTACAGACAAGTAGATGGGGTAGCGATGGGATCACCTCTTGGACCACTATTGGCTGATGTTTATATGGGAATGTTAGAGGATGGCCCACTAAATTTGGTTATCTTGGGCTTACGCTTCTACCGACGTTACGTTGACGACATATTCTGCATAATTGAACAGACGAACAACTTGCAATATGTCGTCGAGTGTTTCAACAAGGCACATCCCAACGCCACATTCACAATTGAAGAAGAAATGGATAACCAAATGCACTTTTTAGATGCAAACTTAAAGCGACAAGACGATGGATCAATTCAGATAGGAGTCTATCGAAAGCCGTATTGGACAGGCCAGTACACACACTTCCGAAGTTTTGTACCAATAAGCCGAAAAAGAACACTGGTGCATACACTAGCCAACCGTGCACGGAAAATCTGCACTGAGGACACAATTGAAGAAGAAATGAAACAAATCAAGCAAACACTTCGCGAAAACGGTTATCCAGAACAATTCAGTGACGTTCATATGAAGTCGAGTAGGCCAAAACCAACAGTACAAACAGCGGAAAAGAAACAGCTATTGCTCCAACTCCCCTTTAAAGGTGACATACCGGCGGAAATATGCACACGACGACTGATAAAGACTTGCCGGAAGACCTTTAATGCAGCTCAACTGAGGATCGTTCTTACAAGCAGTTTGCTCTTTGTTCCTAGGTTCAAAGACAGGATGCCTGATCAACGCCAATCAATGGTAGTCTACCGGTTTACCTGCTCCTGTGGGGCTAGGTACATGGGGCGCACGACCAGACATATGGAAAAGCGAATCAAGGAACATTTACCAACGTCACTCGCCACCCAACGAGAGAAAACTCAGTTGAGTGCCATAACCAACCATCTGATCTGCACCAATCATCTGATTGATAAGCGCAAGTCGTTTAAGATCCTCGATCGAGTTCCATCACAGCTACACCATCGGTCAGGAGCTCGGCTACTCGCTACCGCTGAAGCAGTATGCATCAGGTTGACAAAACCAAACCTATGCATTCAGAAGCAACATGTACAAGCCTTACAACTATCCTGGCCAGCCAGCAATAGAGATGAATCGGACTTCACTCATTTGTATCACATGCCTTCAGTCACCTGACCACCTGACACGTTACGTTAAGCACTTAAAATATTTTGTTCAATCAATAGTTACTCTTTGTTTCCCCTATGGACTCCGCTTCTCAGCGTATATTTCTGTACAAAGCCTGATGATGAATAAATCGAAAACAATTGTTCGCTTTAAGCGTACCGCTTGCGTTTCTTCTTGCAATATATAATAAAAATGGGCATACTACACGATATTATTATTATTTAGTCCAGCACCAACGCCTGCACGCTTAAACGATAGTCGCATGGTATGTTGCAATAACCAACTGGCTCGATGGTTGAATACGTTGTGTTGCTGCTAGACGCAGCCAATCAATGAAAAGTAAATTGGAATCACGTAACAAAACTTTGGTGACCCTATAAATAATACGTTACCTCCCGATCCAAATACATTCCAAGCGCAGCCCAGCCTATGTCCTTGACTCTCGGAAAGCGTTACGCGACATGGTGACAGAAAAAGATGGCACCGATGAACAAGTAGCAGCTTTGCCTTTGCTGACAGCCGTCTCTCGCGATAGTTATTCCATGGAAGATGACGGGGGTTCGCTTCCTGTAAACTGGCACCTGTGGAAAGCCGTGGATGAAATTTGCCACACTTATGCAGTTGTACGATCATCCGGTTGGTTACCAGTTGAGGACGTTACGACATGCTGTTAGCGATGAAGCAAAACGTGTACTGATGAGAAACAATTTGGAAAGCCAGCATAAAGAGCTCAGTTTGAACGATGTGCTCTAGTGTTTTGGTGCGTTCTGTGAAGGCAGGGTTAATGATACTTATCAGCGTTATTTTTGGGTTCAAAGCGCTTCCCAGGTTAATCAGTCAACAACTACGTAATAGAACTAACATTGCCAGCAAGAACATGCAATTTTACTATTGTCTGCGCGATTCGCTGGTAAGAGCTCGGTTTGTCCTGGGCATTAAGGATGAGAAAATAGTCTAAAACTTATTGCAACGGAGTGACGTGACGCCAGACCTATTAATTAACAGGTATAACAGCCAGACGGCAACAGCGTTCCACTTTCGCTACACAAATCCTCCCGTAATCCCTGACCTATGTGCGCCTTCTCAGCTAAGTATACAATGTTGCAGAATGCCCCAACGTGTGAACTAAGCTGTTGGTATTATGGTCACAGTCATGACCTTTTAAAGAAAATCTGCGCCGCTTGGCGAAAGACCTGTATAAAACGCTTGAAAATAATCACTTCGCGCGACGTTGCTGATTAAAGAGGGTGGATGCATTTGACTAGGACGACGCGCCAGCTACCCAGGAACGTGCCATCGTTTGCATCGAGCGTCAAGGAGATAACAGAAGCTAATATACAACGCTGAATGTTGTGAAACGTTCTTTGCGTTTCCAATTAAATCCAGGGGCCACGGTCAACGTTTGTCGGAGAGACAGTGTCCTGGATTGTAGTACGACGAGGCAAAATGACGTCTTAAAGCGTCGAACGGTACGAACGTCCGTCCAAAATGTAGTGTCCCGCTGAATGTCCTCAAACTAATAGCTGTAACCACCAATCAGCCCACCTTTATAGTCGTACAGGGAGGTGTTGTGCCTATCCTTGGTGTTACTTCCAGCAAGCAAGTTTGTTCGGTTTTCTTTAATCCAGTACTCTTTGTGTATTCATATCAGTTGGCTATGGATGTCTTCATCCATATCCTAAAGCTTTTGGTGAAGGACTGCGATAGTTCGAGGGCTGCTGCAGCTAGCGCTAAATGAGTCTGCTGTTACAGTGGCTTTGTCTGCTAGAGTGGTGCTGGTAGCGCTGCGCGTACGGTTTGCATGGGGCTGGAGCGCTTAGCCTCCCTCAGCGTTAGACACAAAATTGACGAGCCCATAGCTTGGGTCAGCCGAGTGGCAATTATTACTGGGACGCCCGATGACTTACGAGTGCGTGTATATCCTAAACCGCGTAAGGACGCCATTAAAAGAGAGCACAACAGCTCATTTCTATCAAGGACAAGGCTTTTACAAAGGTTGATTTAGCTTTGCACTTTAGCACGTCATGTTAACTAACGAATTGAGCTACCTGGCGACGTTCGGTACACTATTCGGGATATTTCGGTGGCTGCGGTTATCAACCGGCTTGAAAGTCTCCAGTGAAATATTCCAAAAACTTCTACCACAAACATTAGAAACTTTACCAGTAGTCAGGTGTGTGGTTGACGACGTGCTGATATGCGGCTCCACTGTAGAAGAGCGCGACCGCGCTATGAATCGGTTTCTCCCAAGATGTGCTGATAGAAACATTAACATGAAACGTGACAAATTAAAACCATAAACCAGGTGTAGTATTACACGGACGCGTTTTGAGTGCCGATGGATCAAAACCTGGTCCAGAAATAATCAGGGCAATAACCGTACTGTCACGTCTCATTGACGTAAATGGAGTCATTTAGTTGAACGGAATGGTCAAGTGCCTAGGGCGATTTTTACCAAGACTGGTGGATATAATGACGTTTAAACGCACAATGAAGAGGACTAACACTAGGACATCAAACAGGAGAAAACCTTCAATCGAATACATTATTTTATTTCGGCTGCTACAGCAATCGCTTACTTTGAGCCAACTCTGTCCCTCGAGATACAGTGCGATAGCAATCAGCATGGAATTGGAGCGGTGTTACTGCAAAACTGAAAGCCTCTAGGTTGTCGAAGTCGGAGTCTGACTCCGAACGAACCTCGTTACGCACAAATCAAGAAAGAGGTGGTCTATTGTCTATGGTATATTGCAGAGAAACATGAAGCTTGACTTGCTCCGCCGGATGATCGGTTAGGGTTGAGCAAAATGAAGGCACAAATAGTAATAGGGAATCATGAAAACCGCAACTTGCAAAATTGCCGGTTAGTGTTCCCGTCTGCGAAGTTCAATCTTGATTTTCTCTTCTACCCATGGTTATCGGTTGTGATTTCCGGGTAAAAGTGATGGTAGGTTAATTTGTTTTTGCTGTTTGTATGGGCCGTTTGCTTAATTTGTTTTGATTTTGTACGGTTAGTGCATTGTCGTCATGTGCTTTAAACACAGCTAACTTTCTTGCTGAAATAGCAGCTTCTGAGAGGGCATTCCATGTAAGGCACACACAACGAGTAAACGTTTCTTCGACATTCCAACCAAATGTATAGTACCGTCAATTTTAGAGGATGACCCCACATATTTTTATTGGGATTCAACTCCAACAGGGGATTTCATGAGTGCTTAGTGTTGTTTAAACGGTGGTAAGCCTGGATTAGGTCGCCACGTAAACCGTGATTACATCTGCTGATAACGCCAAGCACTCTGCCGCGCTGTTCGCATGACAAGTGGCGCAGCTGCTTGAAATTTCTGGTCTTCCAACTTTGCAGAACTCCAAGGTCGTGCGGTCCCGCCTTAGCCATGAGTGCTAGGTTTTAATTGCACATTCAACATGAGGGCGCATGCAAGGGGAAGTAGTTGGCAGAAAACCGACGGTACGAACTGTCCAAAATCTCTCCGTAAAAGCCTTACGGTTTGGCTCCCTTTTTATAATGCCATTTTAGGGTGCTACGGGCAAACGAGCCTTTCCTGGACCAACGCACCAGGATCTCTTTAGTGAGAGTAGTGTGGCAGACCCTTGTCCTCTAGCTTAAATACGGGAACCATTCGGCCTTGCAAATACAGCACTTAACATCTAGCCACATTGAATAGAAGGCGATTTTAGACAGACCACATATAAGTCTTTTCAAGGCCGCTTTGGAGCTGTATGCAGTTTTCTGAGCTCTGTTTACGCGCCGAACTTTAATGTCCTTGACACAAAACCAACAGTTTAACGCAATTTGACTCACTAGATCATTTATAAAGACCAAGAATAGACGGGACCTTAGTACCGAACGCCGTGGCACTCCGCATTCGACCTGAATTGAATCTGACACGGATTCAAGTACTCCCATCACCAGACGCCTGTGCGAGAGAAAATTGCAAAT